ACATGTCAAAAGCCACCTTGGGCCTATATAAACCTTTACCTAAATGGTTGCCTCTTCTGAAGAACATGACATGCCCACATGTTCACAATGGTATACTTATTTGTATGTTGCAAATAGACCCAATACTCATGCTGCTAATTTTCTGACACCAAATTGATAAATTTAAGACTACATAAAATTGAATTCTCTGACTACTGGCTAGTTTTGGTGTCCTTCACACCAGAAAAAAACAATTATTAAGCACCCAGGTGGTGCAGAATACATCCAGAAAATTTAGCTAACTCAGAATTTTAATCCTGGGTGGAGGAAATATCCTCAGCATGGGGTTCTAAAACATTTTTTGTTCAGACCCACTGATGACCCAGAAAATTTTTAAAAAAACAATAATACAATTGATTAAACATACAGCATCAAGAAGATAAGGGCAGCTTCAGACATCATTAAACTCACCTTGGCCAAAATTAATCACCTGAAAACAATTTCCAACGCACAGGATACATCCCTAATGAGGGCATATATGAGCAGAGGTTTCAGCACATTTAGACACCTTGATATGTGAACACCAACACCACGTTGGTGTTTAATACAGAGAAAAAAAAACTAAAAGATAGAAAAATTTGTCTGAGTCTTTTTCCTTTGGTTTCACACCCAAAAGAACATGGTAGCCTGCACACAGGTCTGATGACTGGATACATCCATAGCAGAAACACCCAAAGAGTCATGACTGAAGTACACAGGTTTTATACAAAGTTATATAAATCCAACCTAGTCAAGCCATCAAAAATAAAAAAATCCTCACAAATGTGCATATTGACTCCACGGCTCAAATTAATAATTTAATTAACTTAATATTAAGTGAGGAATTATGGTATATTTATTCCAAGGTTGACCTACCTCTATTACTTTTTTTATTAAGTGAGGAATTATGGGAAGCAGTGTGCAGTGCACCATGAAGGAAATTCCCTGGACCTGATGGGCTTCCCTACAAATTTTATAAAAATATTTTACTAACATATCTAATATTTTTAGCTTCCATGAATAAGTGCATTATGGAAACATCCTTCTACCTGGAGGTAAAGAAGCATACACTGTCACTATATTCAAAAAGGTGATAGATTAAACCTATCCAATTTGCAGTAATCTCTTAACTAATACTGACACTAAAATATCTACAAATTCTTATGGCCAAACAATTAGGGAATATTGCAACTGATGTAATATCCCCCATCACAATATGTATTTGTCCTAAGAAAATTCATATGGGACAATAAACACAGTTACAAATGTCTGCCAATATAAAGCCTATGGAGCGCTTGTCTTTTTATATCAACAGAAGGCATATGATAGGGTGAACTGGACTTATTGCAGAGCCTGCCTTCAAAAATTCAAACTCCCAAATAGGTTTATAAACTGGGTGATGTTGTTCACAGAGTCAGCCACCATAGCTAGGCATGGAGCAGTTTTTTTAACTAACCTAGTTTTTCCACAGAGAGGAAGCAAATAAGGGGACCCTCTAAGCACACTACTATATATTTTAGTCATGATCCCCTAATCTGGAATACAAATGCCCTTATCAATGAAATCAATGTCTATGGCCAACTACTAGTCAAAATGATGGCTTTCACTGACAACTGTGTGGTTGGTATCTCCAACAACAAGGATGATCACATGATTGATAAAATAATAAAAGAATACTCATCCATAAGCAACACATCACTTAATACTAGAAATACTGAAATTGTTTGTGAGGAAATATCAGACCCATTGGACGCCATCCACCTTGGGTCAGCAGATCAATACAGCATCAAGACTCCTCACCAGACCTAGGAGGTGAAAATTATCAATTACCCCACTGGAAATTACCTTCATTATCAAGCTGGCAGCTGGACCTGTCCATCACTTTTGAATATGGTTAGAGGCAGGGTGTTATACTAACACCATGATGGAAAATCAACTCCTAGATAAAATAACAAAACACATTGCCTCCTTGCATGGACATCAAATAGGTCTAAATGAACGATTTGTGATGCCAAATCATTATATTGAAAATTATATGGATTAGGGCCCATGCAATTGCTTTTTCAACATCCTTCTTTAACACAATATATACCTTAATACAGGGATGGCTTTGGTATAACCATAATGCCCCTGCGCGCTTTGAAACTATATTTGGCCCTAAGAGGAATGGAGCTATGGGGCTAATTATGTAAAGCAAGCGGTCCATATACTAGGATCCTGGATAGCTCAAGTGACTAGTACAGACCTTTCAGACATGCATTGGGCTAGAGCAGAAAGATCTAATTTTGCACAAGCACTCCAGTTAATAAATCCAGACAATCCAAACTCATTGATTAAGTATATAGCATCTCACCAAACTGCTGTAGGACCGCATGGCACTTCTGTACACTTTAAATGAATACTTTAGCCATGATAAAAGTAGTGTGGAAGTTTCACATAACAGGCTTGACCAGTCACTAAGGTCACCCAAGGATAACTCACAGACAAGAAGTTAATGGCCAAGTAGTTATAGATAATATAATAAACCAAAACCCAAGTACCATTGCCAGAATTGATTACCTGGATCCTATGGACATACCATACAGCCTGAAGACTCAAATAATAGTCTGGAGATACACACACCACTCACTACTACAACCCAGGATATGTGCACATGCATGGAAATTCATGCAGAGAGTTTATTGCACAGCAGAATGATCAAATGCTGCCTGCTCTTCATACACAATATGTGGTCAATACAGAAGCCTAGTACATCACCTAATACAATGTCCAACATCAGTAGCTATCAGGAAAGAGATCATGCACCTATTCCATCAAGACAATGGACAATTATTTAGTTTATCTAGGAATATGTTTTCTCTCAACATGGAGTCACATATTTATCCATTTTTATGGGCTTTTGAGATTCTAGTATAATTGGACAATAAGCTCTAAAGAGATACAGTTTAAGGAGAGTGTCTATAACTTTCCTATTCCCAGCTTGGTAGTGCATGGTACACAGGGCCAACGCTAGGGAACTAGTCATTAGTAATAAAGTCATTAGAGCCCAGCAGATGGTTCTTGAGCTAGAATAACTTAGGTTGAGAAACAGTTTTCATTAGAGAGAGTATCCAAAATGGAGCAATGTGGTGCTTGAAGTGATAGGGTATAGGCAGCCTTGGCTGGAGGGAACCTGGGCAGCCCAATGGTGCATGGAGAGATTTATTTAAAGTAGTTAAAATTAAATGGTTAACATTGTGTGAGACCTCCTCAAAGAGGTCTGTGCACTGGATTGTCCAAGATAACATAAATATAAAAATGGTGTACTAGTGAAGGGGTTTATTATAAGGGAAGTCAACCAATGAGAGAGATTGGTCTCAACAAAAGAGATTTAAGATAATTTGGAAAAACAATCAAAGGAAGTGGGTCTAAGCCAAGGTGAACCAATAGGCGCATGCTTCCATCATGCAATAAACTGTACTTGGTGATCAACCAAACTCAGGTTATTGATTGTAGGAGAGGCCAACCCAAGCTATAAATTTTAAAGACCAAATGGGTTCTGAGATCCTATTTACCAAGAAACCAAAGTGAACCATTTTTGTTAATTGCAAAGCTAGTTCATTTTAATGCTCCTGCTGTTATACAGAGCCAAACTTCTCTTGCATCCTTAGGACCAACCTGGGCATACTTTATCTTAACCCAGTGTTGATCTATGGTATACTTGAGGTCAGAGAGGCCTGTCAACTTCACCTTCTTGGCCTCCTGACATGCATCTTTGTCCTTAATGTTGGTTTCAAGTATGATGTCATTTCTAACAATGACATACAGCAGATTGGTGAGAATCTGCCAACTAGGATGATTATTCATGAGCATTCAAGCACCTTGAGATGAAGTGCTATTGTACTATAATGAATTATTATTGAATTGCCTCCAAAAAGTTGATAAGGTGATGTTGACATTTAATGAATATTCTTTAGATTGCCTCAAACTAAGATGATAGAGATTTTTAAGAATACCATCTCAAAACTGTTGAGAATACAGCAGAACTGAATAGTCTAAGCCAATAGAATGGTATCATATGAAGTTGCTGATATATAAGCAAGATGGGGAATTGAAGAAAGATAATTGTTAGTAGTTTTGAGAGAACTGAACAGTGAGGAACTGTTGTACTTATTAAATAAATAAATGTGTCATCTGAGCAATTGCTCCATATTTTATTATAAATTAAAGTGTGTTCAGAGAACTGTCATTCCTCACATTGTCCATCCATTGTTTGGTGGGTTTAACCTGTGTGACTCTTATGGTATATCCTAACAGTATCACTAAAATTATAACATGGGCATTAATAGTAGCAAAAAAGTAAATTAGATTATTACCAAGGTTAGGTATAGTATTGGATTCATTTACAGAAGCAACACCTACCCTCTAAGGAGTCATCAATCGTTTTCAATACCATATATTGGAACATTTTCAAGCATGATTGTTTGAAAACATGACCTCATGCAACAGAAGGATAATCAATTCATGGTTCCCCTATGGTTCCTAAATATTGACTCATTTCTTCATTCATGCTGCATCCAAGGATAAGTCTTCATAAATCTCCCTCATCATCCTAAACCTGGTGGTCCTGGTGGCAACAGGAGGGGCTATGAACCCTCTAGGGTATTCTTAATTATTCACATTTTATTATTATTTTATCCTTGGTTTATTGGAAGTGTACATCCCCTGGTTGACCTTCCCCAAATAAATAAAGTTTACACATTGAACATGCTTAAAGCATAACTTGATAAATATTGCCTAAATTTTTAGATACCTAATTATATTGGAGAATGTAATAAAAAGTCAGTTGTATGTTTAGATGTTATTTTATGAGGGAATGAGATTTTATTGACTTACAGTAAACTTATCTTTAGCATATATACTATTAAGTATTTTGTTAGAGGACTTGTAAATATTTAATCATTAAAATTTATTTTAAAATTAGAAGTCTTGAGTTTAAGCAAAAAATCCGATCGCATGGGATCGAACCAGGGACCTAAGGATAACTACTTTATTACAGTCCTTCGCTCTTCAACCTAAGCTACAATCTTTTTTCTTTCTTAAAAAGATTCAGTAGTAAGAACCACCCTGCATGAAAACCACCCAAGTCTTCTTTTTAACTCCATATCATTAATAATAAATAAATTAATTAATTAATGATAAGAGGGGACAGAGGAAATTATGTTCATCCTAGCCAGAACAGGTTTTGAACCTGTTACAGCATTTTTACCCCACCTTAGCTTGTGGTTACAGGTGTGCGCAACTACACCCGGTTAACTGAGCTACAATCGGATGAAGTATTTATATACAAGACATTTCTATAAAAACATATTAGTATAACATTATCCATGTTAAGTGTACTGCGTTCTCTAGAGTTTTGATTGTATAAAAATGTACATAAATTTTAATTTTTATATATTTCTAAGAGCTAGAATAGATAAAACTTGATATGCACTTAAAGTAATTAAATTATATTACTTTAAAAATATCTATCCTAGATAAGAATTCCTTGCTACTATATA